AGCCCTACTAATGAAATTGGTCTAACTATTTTCTTCTAACCATTCCCTACTATCTGCAAGGGCAAGGGGACAGGGACTTAGCATGTTATTGTGATGCTCATTTAATTTAAGACAAGGATATTACACCAAGGGAACTATCAGGCAGACTCAGTCTGATGAGCCAAGAAAAAGCTGCCTCTGCACAACTCAAGTCTCACAAGATACCTATGTGATTAAGTTACTTCAGAACAAATTAGTGCTCTGTGAACTGATTACACCATAAATAAGCCCAATAGGAAAGACAGAAGTCACTGACAGACACAGCATCCTCCTGACAGCAGCTGAGCTTTACAGCTCTCATCCAGAGCAAACATCAAAAAGCTGTCAGTGCCAAAAGGATTTCTGGTCTTTTTACTCAAAATTCATGAAGTATGTCAAAGCAGATGCAGTGTCTACAGTAGATAACTAATCACAAGAATCCTATACTTTCATTTTATCTCATCACTCAAAGCACAAATTGCAGCTCTCTTCCCCACCTAGTAATTACTTGTCTGGCTGCATTTTGTTCTTCTCCAGTAGCAACATGAAGCTTGATTTGAGCTGCAGGAACACAGCCAGTGACTACACAAGCTGCTGTTGTGATAGCACAAAGCAGAAGCCAACTCGGCAGGTAATTGGACTTGAAGTGGGAAAGATCTTCCCCAGTCAGCTTGAAATAGTAATTTCATAGGGGAGAAACTAGGTTGTCTTCATCTACTACAGGTTACCAAAAGAAAATTTTGATGCCAAGACAGACATAATAAATAACAAGACATACCACCATAAAACAGTATTAAAGGGGGTGGGGGGGGTGTGTTGCACTGCAGTAATTTAAGACATTTGCAATCTTCTATCAAGTCAGTAGCAAGAAACAGGTATCAAAGCACAACATTCACTTGCTAGAATGGAGTCCTTCTAGTGCTTGCTAGTTTTATTCTCCTGCCCACTGACACAGTACTTTGGAAAGTCTCAAACTCCACAATTCTAGAATTCATTCATGCTTCCACAGTAATCCTAGGGAATCCTGGAGGGCTAATGTCAACAATTCAAGCTTCCTAATGTGCATTTGAGTTACTTGAACTATGGCATGAAGCTCCTTCATTTTTCTAAAATTCACATCCATGGAAATAATTCCAAAACACTGGAAACCAATAAAGAAATTTAAATGTGCACAAACCTGAAGTCACAGGGGTATTACAGGTCTTCAGTATTCAGCATCACCAGTAACCTCATTGTTAACACCAGCTGCCAGCACCCATTGTTCCACAAAAACAACTCCAACTAACAACATCTAACAAGGATGCTGCTAATGGCTATGAAGAGGAGGGAACAAACTGATGTTCCAACTATGCTTGCACAGGGGGAAGTGTTAACCTAAAAGCCCACTGAATCAACAGCCTGGATATATATGGGAACCTGAGTATCTCTGCTTAGCAGAAATTGGGATCATACAATTTTATATAGGACAGGGTGTATTAGGGCCTGCAATATGGAGCGCCTTTCCTACAAGGAAACGCTGAGAGTTGAGGTTGTTCAGCATGGAGAAGACTCCAGGGAGACCTTACTGCAGCCTTTCAGTCCTTAAAATGGGCCTATAAGAAAGACAGGGAGATACTTCTCAGCAGGGCCTGCTGTAATAGGATGTGGGGTCATGGTTTCAAACTAAAAAAGATTCAGGCGGGATGTGAGGAAAAAATTTTTTACAATGAGGGTGGTAAAACACCAGCACAGGTTGCCCAGTGAGGTGGTGGATGCACCATCCCTGGAGACATTCAAGGCCAGGCTGGATGTGGTTCTGGTCAACCTGATGTAGTTGAAGATGCCCCTGCTAATTGCAGGGAGTTTGGACTAGATGACCTTTGAAGGTCCCTTCCAACCCAAACTGTTCTATGATTCTATGAATCACTACAGTCCCTAATGAAGAGTCTCAATCCAGCATCCTCATAGGTCCCCTTCAGATACTGGAAGGCTGCTATGAGGTCCTCACACAGCCTCCTCTTCTCCAGGCTGAACAACCCTAACCTTCCCAGCCCATCTTCCTACAGGAGGTGCTCGAATCCCCTTATAGTCCTTGTGGCCCTTCTCTGGACTTGCTCCAACAGCTCCATATCCTTCTTATGCTGAGGACACCAGAACTGCACACAGTGCTCCAACTGGGGTCTCACAAGAGCAGAACAGCTGGGCAGGATCACCTCCTTCGACCTGCTGGTCACGCTCCTTTTGATGCGGCCCAGGATACGGTTGGCTTTCTGGGCTGTGAGCACACACTGAGGCCAGCTCATGTTCAGTTTCTCATCAATTAGCACCCCCAAGTCCTCCTCCACTGGGCTGCTCTGAATCACTTCTCCACCCAATCTGTAGCTGTGCTTGGGATTGCCCTGACCAGGTGTATGACCTTGTACTTTGCATTATTAAATTTCATGAGGCTGGCACTGGCCAACCTGTCAAGCATGTCAGGGTCCCTCTGGATGAAGGGAACTTCTCCCAGCTGCCATGACTTTTCAGATATGATGGCCAGTGGCTTAGCAACTTCATTTGCCAGCTCCTTTAGGACCTGCGGATGGATTTCATCAGGTTCCATGGACCTGTGCACATTCAGATTCTTAGGATGAACTCAGACCTGGTCCTCTCCTACAGTGGGCTTAAGGTCTTCATTCTTGCAGTCCCTGTAGCTGTCTTCAAAGACTTGAGTAGTGTGCGCAGAGCACCTGCCAGTGAAGTCTGAGGCAAAGAAGTCATTAAGAACCTCAGCCAGTTCTCCCGTTTCCTCAGAAGGCCAAACAATTCTAAACTTTCTTTGGCAACTCCAGAAGGCAGAGTGGCAAAACCACAAGCATTCCAGTGGAAAACACAAAAGGCACTGATTCATATGCAATTAACTCAGCTAAATTTACTACAGAAAAAATTGCTACTCCAGCTGTCCTTGACACCTGCATAGCAGAGACAATGGAACATGACGAGCATCCTCTTATGATCTATTGCAGTTTTCAAGCTGACACTCGAAACTGGTGGCAGTTACAGTTCTTGAGCTGCTGCATTAATACAATTAGCACAAACCCAGCCATGCACCTTACTCCAGCATCCATGCTACAGCAAAGGCAAAACACTTCTAAATCCACCACACAAAAAGCATCTATACTCTAAAAATGTCCTTCTACTCAAAGCCTCAGTTTACAAAGTGACAGTCAAGCAAAGCAAAACAGAGAACTGGTATCTGGAAAGTTAGAAGGAAGGATGTAGAGGGAGAAAACTTCTTAATACCCTATGCAGCCCTGTTTTATCTTCCTAAAAGAGTTAGGCTTAAAGACTGAGAGCAGAACAAAATTCCTGAGGTCAAGCTGCACATTATTTTTCAAGAACAAAGCAGCTCACTTTTTTTTTACTGGTCTATGTTTCTGCAGTCTTTCACAGCAGCTGTATGCAGAAACCATCCCTAGTGAAACAGATTTAGACTCTGGTGTCTAAGATGTCAGAAAAGTCTACCACAGAGTTTTAAAATGTAAGATTTCTTTCTGAGCATCAAAAGAGTGCTAACGGGAATCCACTGCATCACTGTTCTGGCACAAGTCTGCCTTGTGCCAGACAACAGTATAAATACACAAAAGGGCTTTTATAAGGGTTCAGAGAAAGTGCAAAAGAATACATTCAAGCTGATATATCTACCTGAATCCAAATCCTCAAAGGAGGGGCTTTAATGTCTCAGCCCTATGCTATCTTTATAAGGGCACTAATTTGTACAGCACACATTTTATCTTCACTACAGTAACACCATAAATGAACGTTAACCAGATACCTTGCAATATTCAAATATCTTGCAACTCAAATGCTGAAATACTATCTGCAGTCCAAATGATTAAGATTATCCACCAAGAACACACATATATTCCCATCAGCTAGTATTTTATATAACACTTTTTTAAAAGTTGTTAATCTTTAAGCAACAGACCAGAGTTACCAACATACAAACATATACTACAGGCCTATTGTGAAAGTTTACTTAGTCAGAAAGATGCAACTTCCAAATGCTTTCATTTTGAGGATACAGACAGTGAAAAATACTTACAGAGACTACATATTTAGCTCCTCTAGGCATATCCTATACAATCTTTTAAAATAACAGGCTCTGACATTGTAGACTTTAATAAGTTTAGGTGCTTACTGTGTATGGTATGTATTGTAAATGAAAATATAAGCCTATACTCTGTATTAAATGGTATTCCTCTCTTGGTCTAAGTTAGCACACATCTGAGAATGGTGTAGGTTCTCTCCCTCCCCTGATGTGTATTTCAGTAAAAGTGATGTACACCTCTTACACCATCCATTTGTGTGTCATCACCACAGAACTCCCCCTCCAGTTGCTCTAGTCACTTTTTGCTTCTAGGAGAAAGGCTTTGAGGAGACATTGCATGACTTTCTGCAGCTTAAAATGTGCTCCATAACCAGAACTCTAATCAGACAGTTCTATATATTATTACTATACTGACATATTTACTGCTTTTCCTCCATAAATTAACGTATTTGCTGTTTTTTCAACTTCATCTACACCAAACTTCAGGTAACATATACAATATCATTATTAGCAACAAAAATGAAAGGCACAGAGGCATTCACTACTTTATTTATACTATGTTAACTTCCTGAAGGGGAAAGAGACATACTAACCCAGTAAGAAAGCAATTAACACACTGCTTTTATTTGCATCACCTGACTACCCCGTGGCTCAGCACTGACAAAGTCAACTTTTGGAACAGCAGCAGAAAGGTTCTCTCATACCTCAAGTTAAAGACTATTTTAAACAGGTAACTGGGTTAAAATTGAAGATTATACTCCCAGAAAGAAAATCCACTGCAGTCTTTTTATTAAAACAAATATATCTGACTACCAAAGAATGGACCAGCAGCAAGATAAATCGGCAGTAATTCAGGAGATGTTCACCACCCAGGACCATCAGAAAAAACAGGATATGCCCCACTGCCCCATACCTTTGATGCTTGAGGAGTAGAAATCACATGAACAGTGCTGGGCTTAACTCCGTTTGCCTTGGGTCGCTTATAGAGGGCAAATCTGCTTTTCCTGCGCCCTCTGTCACCATTAGGAAGGGATCCATTATACCTAGAAATAAACAAAAAAAGTTTGGCACAAACCACCACCAATTTGAAATACAGAAAAGGAGTGAAGCAATTTGGTCACAATATCCTGATATCATCAAATACATGGGGCAAAAGCAAGAACCACCATGGTAAGTTTTGTTTCCTGAATTATGAGTATTCAAATATTCTTTACCTGCCAATGATCGATATCTTATTCATTCTTAATAAATAAACTACTAATGAAATACTGAGTAGTTAAGCTGATGAAATACTACTTTACTTCTAGAATCAAAGGAACTTTGGAGAATAATCCCTAAATTTTCTCTGTCATTTCAAAAAATGAGGATTTTTTTTTTAATGGTGTTTTTTTTAACCCTATGATGGCCTTCCCACATCTCATGCAGGAATGGAGAAGACAAGAGGAAGAACAGGCATGATTTGGAAAAACAAAGTAATTTAGGGAAAGTAAAACTACATGAAAGGGAATTTTATTCACTCACATACAACTTTTCTATTGTTTTTTTTTTTCCACTTTTGTTGGTTTTAATCTCTAATCCTAAAGGCTTCATCTATTAAGGAAAGACGATGCAAGTGTTTTTAATTTATGTGACTATCTGCAGACCCACTGACTTCCTTCATCAAGTGTAACTCAACAGCCTTCAACAGTTCTTTCATCTCTTTCTGAAGACAGAGACCCAACAGACTAATTATTCAGAGAAGTCTTGAGCCTCAGGGGGACATAACTCCTTCCCCAGGGAAGGGATCAACTGAAAATCTTTGCATTGCATGAGCAGGGAATTCACTGCCACCCAGCCCAAAGATTTAGGACAGGTAGATGCTTCTCATCACAGCACTGTCACCTGTAGCATTCTTGCTAACTCTCAGCTCAGGAACTTTACTTCACTGCACAGAAGTCTCTTCCATGCCTGATCCTCAGATGTCATACTTTTACCTGAAGAACTACAGAAGTTATTCCACTTACAAGTCTCATTTGTCTTACTGGTGAGGTCTACTCTATACTGATCACATATACCCTCTCCTACAGCCTTTATGATTAAAAATTAATATCACAGTCAGGAAAAGATTATGAAAAAGAAAAGCAAGAGAAAGATTTAAAGATGACTAACTTCCTGCCAAGCAGGGGAGACTAAAAAAAAACAAAAAGATAGAAGAACTCATTATCTGCTTAGAGGTACACCTTGAAGTGATTTGGCTCTACATCCAAACTATCTGCAGATCAAAATCATTTGTTGGTTGACCTGCAGAAGGCCAACAGCCACTCACTGCTAGGGCTGTAAGAGCAGTTCTGTGACCATCACTGACTAGGAAAAGAAGTACAGACAATACCATTAAAGGGTAATGTTCCTTGCCATTACATTCTGTGTATGTAACTAACTAGTTTGTGTAACAAGAGAATGCAGTTGTAGAGCCCTGTATCTTTTTGCAAACAAATGAGAAATGGGTCATGGATGAAAGCAAGTGGTCTCATTGTTAAGGCTCTGAAGCACTGTCCTGCAGAAGACTAAAGTTTTCTCTGGGTAAGGATGACCTGTTGTCACACAGGAAGATAGTTTAAAACGTCACATGCAGAGTGTCTGAATTGCAGGACTGATAAATATTTGTGAGCACAAACAAGAACAGATTTAAGATTGCAATAATCTCAAATTTAAGTACTCTAGAGCATAAAACCAGACTTTTTTTTCCAATATACATTTAACACTTGATGCTAGACACATAATGAAGAGCTTTACAGCTGGACTACAAATGAACTTGTTCTTCTCACCCCTGTTTTCACAGGGAAGGCTACTGTATCTCTGGAATATTAAGAGATTCCCCAGCACAGCAGAAAAACAACACTTTATTTCATGCTAGGCCTTCTAGTATCCTGAAACCTATTATTAACCCTACACAAGAGAGTAGCACTCAGTTAACACAGCAGATCCTCATCACAAGAGACCAATTCCTAGAAAGACACGTGGTCTCAGTATGATCCCCAGGCAACCTAAACACCAAGCCTTAAAATAGGAATGATTTGATTTTCCAGCTTGAATCTTACAAATTATATACACATGCTTTCTTTCAAAGACATTATGTTACCATGAATATGCCAGCAAGTTTTAGCTTGCCTGAAGACAACATTCTTTCTACAAGTACTTTTATCTGAGAACCTGACAAAATCATCACTAGCTTTGTATTCTGTAATTTCACTTTTTGTATTTGTGTAACTGTTAAGAAGGACTGAATCTAAGTAGTTCCACTGAAAGTTAAAACCAGACTAGTAGGATTATTTTATTTGGGTTTTCCTCATCTTCACAAAAAAAAAAAAGTAACTGGGAAAGGCTACTTGATTTCATTTTAGGTCTTTGGGATTTAATTCTCTTGAAAGAGAAAGAAAGAAGCTGTTCAAGGTTAAAAGGCCTTTTGGAAACTTTAAATAGGAAGGATATGCAAGCAAAGTGAAAGTTCAATTCATTCATCCTGATTAGCAATGACAAGTTTTCGTGAAGGTTTTCCTTGTGCCAATTTCTAGAGTTTCATTTGTACAAAAGGACAGTTGAAATTGAGTAGTAGTTTTACTATTTATGTTCTAATTACAGACCTGCAAATTTTATTTTGATCTGACACTGGTGAAAAGAGGGAAATCAATTACCAGGCATACATATGAGTTTCACAGGAAAAAAAAAGTGTCAAAACTTGCCTCCTTCCTCCCCACAGCCAGCAGACACCTTCATTTTTTTCTAGGCCAGGACTCAACTTATTCACCACAAAGAAACCCTCCCCACAGCACTTGAGCCACACATTTCCTTGCCACTACCCAAACCATCTACATACCAAATGAACCAGTGGTAATGTCATGGGATCTTGTCAGCCGCAACAGGACTGCACCCACCCACCATCCTGTGCTGGCAAGTGCACAAGTCTGATTGCTCTTGAGGCAGCAATTCTTGGCAAGTCCCTGCCTTTCTAAGCTGAGCTGTCCTGAAGGACACAGTGGGCTTCAGTACTCAAGAGGAGGAGGAACACAGGCATGTCCACCCACGCTTTGCCAAGTCAGCTTTTCTAAGCAGCAGCACCAGGAGCTACAACAAGAGAAGGAGCCCTCTCCGATCCTTCATTTTTCTCAACTGTCCTACTGAGCAGCACATTGGTGAGCAACAACTGGATGGAACTGCACAGGAAGAAGAGGGACAAGGACTAAAGGCACAAGCTCCCTGCTACTGAACACTGTGAGACCCCAAGCTTCCCCACAACCAACTGGAGCTCCATAAACAGAAGCTCCTTGTTGAAACCTCTCACAACACCTCTCCAAAAGGATCATCCCATTTCTCTTCCCTCCGCACCCTTACAACAGCTCCAGAAGCCCAGTGCATCTTAGGGACCAGCACATTTTTATGCCAATGTTTTGCTTCACAAGATGGCCAGCACTTCCAAAAGACAGCCTGCAGCTGGAACTCTCCCACACCCCACCAAAAAGCCTAGAACAAAATGTTCTTTCCAACTAATAAAAAAAAACCTAGGAAAAAATAATCACATTTCAGAGACCCAGTGACCACTTCTGAGATGAGCCTCTTCACATGCAGATCTACGGGACACTTCTGAAGTCCTCCAGATGTTTCAAAACATCAGACCAATGCATGTGGTAAAAGCAGGCCTACGCCCTTCCCAAAAGCTTCTCAGTGACAGCAATGCTGTGACAACTACCATTATGAAACCTTGTGGGATAATTATTTCTGTTGATAGCACTACTCCTTGCAAATAAGGGAGTGGTGCTGGCATAGGTTATGGGCACCGCAATTATCAAAGCCAGTTTCCTACAGATTTACATCAAACAGTTGAGGACATGGGTATATAAGAACTGCTAACTTCAATTAAGTTTTTCCCATGGTTGGGATATGTAATGAAAGCCTCTCCCCTGCACGCATTCATGGCTGTCTGGAGAGCAAGACCACACACACTCCCATGCTCTGAGCGCTGTGGCAAGTTCCTGTTTTCTACAAAACTTGTAGGAATTTACTTGACTACTTCAGAGATCATAGAATAGTTAGGGTTGGAAAGGACCTTTAGATCATCTAGTTCCAACTCCCCTGCCATAGTCAGGGACACCTCACACTAAACCATGCCACCCAAGGCTTTGTCCAGCCTGGCCTTGAACACTGCCAGGGGTGGAGCATTCACAGCTTCCCTGGGAAACCTATTCCAGTGCCTCACCACCCTAACAGGAAAGAACTTCCTCCTTATATCCAATCTAAACTTTCCCTGTTTTAACTCGTTACCCCTTGTCCTATCACTACAGTCCCTAATGAACAGTCCCTCCCCAGAATCCCTATAGGCCCCCTTCAGATACTGGAAGGCTGCTAGGAGGTCTCCACGCAGCCTTCTCTTCTCCAGGCTCAACAGCCCCAACTTTCTCAGCCTATCTTCATACGGGAGGTGCTCCAGTCCCCTGATCATCCTCGTGGCCCTTCTCTGGACTTGTTCCAACAGTTCTGGTGTCCTCAACATAAAAAGGACATGGAACTGCACACAATACTCCAGGTGAGGTCTCAGAAGAGCAGAGTAGAGGGGCAGGATCACCTCCTTCGACCTGCTGGTCACACTCCTTTTGGTGCAACCCAGGATACAGTTGGCTTTCTAGGCTGCAAGCGCACACTGAAGCCAGCTCATGTTCATTTTCTCATCGACCAACACCCCCAAGTCCTCCTCCGCAGGACTGCTCTGAATCTCTTCTCTGCCCAACCTGTAGCTGTGCCTGGGATTGCTCCCACCCAGGTGTAGGACCTTGCACTTGGCATGGTTAAACTTCATAAGGTTGGCATCAGCCCACGTCACAAGCGTGTCAAGGTCCCTCTGGATGGCATTCCTTCACTCCAGCATATCAACCAAACCACACAGCTTGGTGTCATTGAGCACACCCTCAGCAAGATTGTCAAGCCCACTGTCCATGTCACCAACAAAGATGCTGAACAAGACGGGTCCCAACACCGATCCCTGAGGGACACCACTCATTACTTGTTATCATCA